ATACTTACTGTCCTGTCATTTGACCGGTTTCAAGTCGAAAATCCGGTACAAAATGGAAGGGCAATCGGGTTACGGCACCAGTACACCTCTCCTGGGTGGGAGCGGGAGACGGTCGGGACTATTCCGGAGGAAGAAGTCGGTGAAAACGCTAAGGAAGGAGCTTGTGTCAAGGTCGGGACAGCTCCGTAGGAAGAACTCGGTGAACACGCTGAGGAAGGAGTTTGTGTCAAGGTTGCCAGAGAAAGTTCGCTGTGGTGTTGATGATGAGTCTCCTTTCCACATCGATGTCTCAAAAACCAAAGGTTTGACCAAAGGTTAGAGCTTTCTATCTGTTTCGTCTTCTATCTAGATTTGTTTGTCATTTGTCCTTCAATGGTCTTGTTCTGATTCATTGGTTGATGACATACACTTTTGGGTTTCGATGGGAATGTTAAAGGATAAGATGGACACTGATTCACTTCTCTCAAGAGTCCGTTTTGTTCAGAGATGATAATTTGATGAGATGACCCTTGCTGCAATAATGGGTGTTTGATTGCTGAGAAAATGTAGAAGACATGTGGGAGTTTAAGATAAAGGAGTGAACTGTGTGTTTTTCCTTCTTTTTGTTCAATTTTTCTTCTTTCTATGAGTTTTCTGGATCCATTTTGTACCAGACAGAGACAAATGGTAAGGTTTATAAGAGAGTAATTTTGTTTTTCCGTGTTTTCTTGGCAACCATGGGGAGCCAGAGCCTAATGATCATGATTGACAATTCAATGTGTAGGGGAAAAGGAATACTATGAAAAACAATTTGCAACCTTGAAATCCTTTGAGGAAGTTGATGCTTTGGATGCGTCCACAGAGGACGTTGTTGACAAAAATGAGCAAGATGAGGAGCAAATCCAACAAGAAAGAGCCATAAAGTTTTGTAATTATGCAAATATAGTCTTGCTGATACTCAAGGTAAGTTTTTACTACTTGTTTCATGGTCAATTTAATCTCCTAAACTGTTTCTCATCATTATCGTATCTTTATGGAGGAAACTATGTTTGGCAATTAATTTTGAGGATTTTAGGATGCATTGGAATCTGTGATTCCTTTCTATATACTCTTATATTCCCACTTTTAAGGTAACAATTTGCATGTTGTGCAGATCTATGCCACAATAACTAGTGGATGCATAGTTATAGCAGCATCAACATTGGACTCTTTTCTTGATCTCATGGCTCGTAGTATACTTTGGTTTGCTCACTCGTCAATGAAAAACGTAAACATTTATAAGTATCCTCTTGGAAAACTGAGGGTGCAACCACTAGGCATAATTCTCTTTGCCGCTGTTATGGCTATGCTCGGTATGTTCGTTGCTTGTTGAATTTGATTGAATTTTTACAGTGAACTTCCCTGCACCTCTACCTTATATTTGGGTT